CCGCTGCATCGCGAGCGCAACCGCCTGTAGCTGTTGGCGCGTCAAGCTCCGTCGCGTCGCATCCCTCGCCCGCTAAGCCGGCAAAATAACGACCCAAAAGCATTCGACTTTTCAGTGCTTGTGCCCATAGCTACAGACCTCTCTTTTCATTCATTTCTTTATTCCTGTTATAAGACACATTCCACAGCTGTACTCATTTTCCTGTCCTCCTTACGCCATCATTTAAGGGCTGGACCTTTCCCCCCCATGCGCCGCCTTTTGGTTCCCCTGTTGGCAGTATAAGCTTCTGAGAAAAAAAAAAAGCCCAATCCTCTTTGGATACGCAACTCGCACTCACGCATTCACGCATTCACGCTCGCTCACTTGCTTCACGACATACAACCCGGACTATCTGCCTGGCATGAACTCTCACACGCCTCGCCCTTTTCCAGGACGATCAATAGCAGGAGGGTCCAACCAGCATGCGCAGCCACGGAATCCCCCCGCGCCGCAGGTGTCTTCAAACGAGGATTACGGCACCATTGCTGACGAGGATCGCGAACACATTGATGAAGTCGTAAGTTTGGCCACAAATATGTCTTGGAGCCCCGTCCCAGACTTCTCACATTAGCAATGTCCCTTAGTTCGACTTGATGGATATGAAGAAGAAAGGATGGCTGAATAGCTACGAATTCAAACACTCGCTCGCTGCGCTCGGCTTCGACATGCCCAAACCCGAATACTGCAGAGAACTAGAAAACTACGGCACAGTACCGCCCGACTGGCGAGACCCTCACAGCTGTCCAGTCAACCGCCTTCTCATCTACCCCGACCAGTTCCGACTATGCGCCGCAAAGCTCATTGCCCGACGAGACCCTCGTGAGGAGGCTATCAAAGTATTCAACATGTTCGACTACGACCAGGACGGCATCATCTCGGTCGAAGACATGAGGCATCTAGCTCAAGACATCAAGGAAGAACGCACAATGACGGATGAAGAGATCCAGACCATGATAGAGCATCTCGACCACGACGGCAAGGGCGGGGTGAATCTCGAAGAGTTCATACAGATGATGGAGGAGGCTGGCTAGTTGGGCATCAAGAGAAGCCAGAAAGATGTTTTACGACGACAGCTCCAGGGGAGAGGCTGTTCCAGCCCCGGCAATAAAAGCCTTCAATATCCCGGCACAGAGCTGTTTCGCCGTCGAAGATATGGCCTACCTTCTCGACGACTACGACCCGCCTTTGCCGGGACGCATTGAAAGCTGGTCGATCCGCCCCAAGGAGCACACGATTTCGGAATGTTGCAAAGTTATAGTCGAGGACAATGGATCACATATAATGCGCACATGCTCACAAAGTATATCTTTTTTTTGGAGATGGCGTATCGGTAGTTTTGTTGCTTTTTTTTTTTTTTTTTACTTGTTTAGGATTATGTATAACGAGGCAATGGCAGCAGGAGTTGCTTTCGGCTCCAGGGCTAGAATAAGTGCTACGAGATACCTATGCTAGCATTCACGAGATGGAAAGCTTGGACAAATATGAACAAGGTCGAATTCAGATCTACAATTTTGAATTCCAGAGGCGCGTTGTCTAATTAACATACCACATGGATCGTAGGAAGAAAAAAGAAAACAAAAAAGAGATATCCCGTTTAATTCCATCTCAGCCACCCAAACGAGTAGAATCTTAATCCCCTTCCCCTAGCAAAGTCAAGAAACAAATTGGTACGATGCCGAGAAAGCCGTTGCAACAGGGAATAGAGACTTTCACCTTTAAAAGAAAAAGGCGAGGTATAATAAGTCCATGAACAGGAACAAAAGAGAAAAATGGCGGTATTAGAAAGAGCGTCAAGAGCAATGGAAATCCGTCAGTCCCGTCTTTGGTATATAAAAATTAGCCCATTTTTTTGTTTTTCAACTTCTTCGCCTTAAAACTGGATTAAATCTTGCGGTTGGCCTGGTTGCTGTCGCTGCTGGGCTCCAAATGGATTGCTGTTCACCTGAGGTTGGCCACCGTAGGTGATGCTGGGCAGACCAGTAAACTGCTGTCGTAGGAAAGGGTTGTTGCCGGTGGCTTCTGGGTTGAGGCGACCAAGACCGGCGCCAGCGCTATTGATGAAGGTTCCGGGAGCAGTGTGCTGTGAAGGAATTCGCAAGTCTCCCGTGTTTCCGTATGTATCCATACCGTCTCCAGAGGCCAGCAAAGCGTTCAGCTTCATCTCGTGCTCACTGAGTTCTCTCTGGGGTTGGCTGAAAGCAGGCTTCTGCTGCAGCTGCTGCTGCTGCTGCAGTGAGAACTGGGGCTGGTTGAAGTTGGACAGAGTCTTCTGCTCTGGCAGAGGGCTAAGAGAAGACGTCGCAGGTCTAGCTGATTGCGGCCTGTTCTGGGCAAAGGGGTTGTTGGAACCGGTCGGTGTAGGTTGAATAGACTGCTGCTGTAGCTGGTTGTTGGTTGCCCAAGGATTGTTGCTTCCAGGCTGGATAGCCAAATCCAGAGCCTGAGAAGGCTGCAAGTGCTGCTGTTGGGCAAACTGCTGCTGCTGCTGGAGGTATTGTTGCTGCTGCTGTTGCTGCTGTTGAGCAAGCAGGTTACCTGTAGGCACCGGGAGGACTGAATCAACACCGAAAGCGACGTTGTAGTTGGGTTGCCAGCCAGTTTGCTGCGGCTGCTGCTGCTGTGGCTGCTGGTATCCAGTATAAGCGTTTCCTAGATAGCCCGTCTGCTGGGGGAGCTGTTGAGCCTGCTGGTCAATTGGGTTGGCCCAGAAATCCACAGCGTTGCCTTGTTGGTAGCCCTGGTTGAATCCCGTGTGTTGTGGCTGGGATGTTGTGGGAGTGTCATCGTCAAATAGAGAATGGGCGTTGGAGTCTTCTAGTTCACGACGTCTTCTCTCTTCCTCCTCCTGGCTCAGTTTGATGGCCTTTGCGAGATCATCATCATTCTCACCACCGGAACGAGTCTGCCTTCGTTTCCTGTCCTCCTCCTCCTGGTATTTGCTAGCTTCAATAGCAAGGCGATACTCAGTGTCGTCTTCTTCATTTGGAGCTCTCCGTTCTGACCGAGGCTGGCGTCTCTGGGACTGCTCGGACTGCCCAGCATACTGCGGGCCGAAATCAGAGTCTAGGCCCATGACGCGCGACTTCCAGGACTTCCGGTCGCTTCGCTCCGCTCGCAATCGCTCGTCATTCAGGATAAGCGCGGTCAATTCCTTTGCCGCGACACGGACTGCGCACCGGGTTAATAACGGCCAACCGGAAGAAGGCATGCATCAACTTACCATTCTGACCGACGTCGCGGCCTTCCTCGTCAATGTACTGGAACTCTCGCAGTGTCTTGATGATGTAGATGCTCTGGCGCGCCCAAGTGACAACGAGCTCAGAGCCCTCGTGGAGACAGTAGTCGAGGACCTTCAACGCCTTGAGAACGTGGCGCCAATTCTTTCCCTTGTCATTGAGCCTCTTGTCAAGCATATCCATTATGTCGTAGAATTCGGTGGACCTGCAATCGGGCTCAAGGTTAGTTTGACGCTATGGTCCCAGCTTGTTCAGAGCGTGACATACGTGTTGAAGGTCATTTGGGCAATCTCGCTCATCTGCGTGCCGGTCGGACCCCATGGATCATTGCTCGTCGCTGTGAAAAGAAGCTGCCATTAGCATCGCTGACTACGCCGATGAGCGGCAATTCCGGGCGGTGACAAACCATCTCGGACTTTGACCTGGGCATGAGAGTAACCCTTGGTCACGTTTTTCACGCTGCGCATAACCTTTGACATGATGGGCGATCTGTACTATTCACAGCTGGAAGAGTAGGAAAAAGAAAAGAAGAGGGAGGAAAAGAGCCGGATGATTGGCGCGCGAGAAGCTGATGGGGGTTGGTCGCAGCTAGCAAGCAGGATAAGATAGGAGAGAAGAGAAATGAGATTGATCGAAGCGGCTGTCCGGGGTGGGCAGCAAATTCAGCCGCGAGACGCTGCGAGCGTGAACCTTGAGCAAACGGCTGCAGACACGCAAGACGCAGACGCTGACGAGCCTCACAAAGGTGAATCGAATCGCCACTCGAACTCGGCGGCTGCAACGCTTTGGTGTACCTGGGAGGTGCTTGGCGTGGGGCGGCTGGTCGCAACAGCTGTGGCGCTTAACAAAGGGGAGACGCAATACACGCGAACAGAGAGAGAGAGAGTTTTGGCGTGCAAGCGGTGATGAAGCCAGATTTGCGCGGCGCAAAGAGGCGGGTGAGATGTCGAGTAGAGTAAGAGTCGTGGGATGGAAGAAGAGGCTTGTCCGACAAAGCGAGATGGGCTTTGACAAGTCTATCAGTCGGTTCGCCTCGCCTTGTTTCCAGCTAGCTTGAGTCAGTTTACGTACGCTCCCTGCTTGATTACGTTAGGGGAGAGGAGGAGGGACGAGGTTAAAAGTTCCCCAGTCCCCAGGCAGGGTCGACAAAAATATCCGAGCACGCCGAAGCCCGAATTGCCCTGTCGTCTTTTTGTCAGCCGATTGTGACGCCCAGTCTGCATGCCTCGTTCTGGTACCTTACGTCACGCGCCGGGCGCCCATCTCCAGCCACGCAACGACTTGAGGGAAATACTCCTAGACAAAGGCAGATCCGGGTCGCAAGCCCGTCAGCCCAGCGCTTACCCTACATCAAGCATTGAGCATTAAAATCTCTGTGGTTCCATGCGTGATTCCAGTGCATCAACCGGGGCTTCCATCCAAGGCACAGCGTCCTGTATGTACAAGGCAATTCCGATTCGGCCGGATTGCGCGTCTCTAATTGGGAGCTGCAGCACTCCAGGAAAATAGGTCCGGAGTACGCCGGCACCTGTGAGGTCATCACTGTCACCGCTGTGGGCCGGGCACACCTCACTTCTAGTTGCATGCAGCAATACCCTGCACCTACGGAGGATTAACATTGGATGTATCTACACTCGGGGGATTTCGGTGGCTGCAGAGGCCCAAAGAATAAACTGAGATTGGATTGGATTCCGTTTTCTGTACATGTACGGTACTGTAGATAGTCGCAGATATCAGCTAAATAAAGCTAGCGGGAAAGCGAAATTCTATGGATTGGAACCCAAATTAGACATCCTTCTTCGAGATGCTGTCCCTGTCCTTCTTAACCCTGACCGACCACTCACTCACTTTCATTTTGCCTGCGCCTTTCCTTTCTACGTGCAAAGCCTCTTCGCGCCTCCCGGAGCGCCACCATCGCCTTCGTCTTCCTCGTCCTTTTCGAGCTTAAGATGGTCGCGTTTACGAGAGTCTGAAGACGCAGTCGATTTTTCGGGGAGGAATTGGTCAGTCGGATCTTCTTCCGTGAGGTCAATCCATATATCGTTTCTCTCGCTTTGTCGTCTAGTCGTCGACGACGATGCTGTTCGATATATATACGAAGGTGCGGAGCCGACGAATAAACTTGCTTCGCTTTCTGCGGTCCGTGGGGGGGAAATGTTTGAACCGTCGGAACCGTCAGGATCATCAGAATCGCGCCCACAACCTCCCGTGCTTCTATTGCCCTGCGTGCTTCGTGTGTGTGATTCTGTATATGACGGGGCGTATCCATCATCGTCAACAAAGAGGCTGCCCTCTACATTCCCATTGGTTGAGCCTTGCTCAGAAGACGCTATATCTTGATCAAGCTCTTGATCGAGCTCATGGTCAAGCTCATGGTCAATCTCATGGTCAATCTCATGGTCGATCTCATGGTCGAGCTCCTGGACGAGCTCCTGGACGAGCTCCTGGTTAAGCCCCTGGTCAAGTTCTTGGTCAAGCTCTTGGTTTGGCTGATCTTCATTATCTTCATCCTCCGTAAGGTCAATGACTTGATGCCCAGAGACTGATCGGTCATCTGGCACAACAGTGGCGGATCCATCATCGCTCTCCTGGTCACCGTCACCGTCAATGGCCATCAAGCGAAGCAAGTGGAAATTGTTGAGCAGATCGTTCGCTTGCGAGTCCCCTGTAGAAGGGCCACCGTCTTCTTCGGTGTTGGTTGAGTTGTCCCCCATATTATGCCACGGATTTGCCTGTGATGGGGCATCATCGTCGCCGTCATCATCTGAGCTCTCATCAGAACCTGAATCCGGACCAGAGCTCGGAGGACGACTTTGGCGAGGGTTCGAACCAGAGTCAGAATCAGAATCAGAACCAGAATCGGGGTCAGAACCAGAGTCGGGGTCAGAATCCGAACTCGAGTCTTCCGGAGAGTTCTCCTCTACTACCCCGAGACCTCTGAGCAGAATATCCCAATCTGCATCTGATGGCTCAAACGAATTGAGTGATGGAAAGAGATTCCTCAACTGTGATTTACAACGATCACCGGCTTCTTTAGGCCTCCGGACAGAGTTGTTCACGTCCTTTACAAAGTGCCAGTCTCGCACTGGTCGCCTCCTCTCTTTTGTATGAAGCCACCGGTCGAAATCCCAGAATTCAGCTTGGTCTAGGCCTCGGAGGCTATAAACATAGTCCATGCCTTGTATCGTGCGTAGTGATCGGAAGCCTCTGAAGTTCGGGTGTATTTGCATTTTGCACTTCATGTGCTCGACTATGCCCCTCGGTTCATGTTGGCGACGCATATACTCCTCATTGGACTCTTGAACGTAGACACCAAGAGTCTTGAGGCGAATGGCCTCCGGAAGCCACACGAGCGCGAATGTGCGGCGTGATGTATATTTCCCGCGGTCATTGATCTCAAAGGTGAGATGCTGCGACCCTTGCCAGAAAATCTCAATATGCTGCAGCCGTTGAACATTTGCTCTAATACCTTTGGCAAAGCGACCCTATTCGCCCAAAGAAGAAAAAGCAAACGTATTTTGGCCATAGAATATGTGGCTGCCCCAGAAATGCCATCTCTTGCAGACCAACAGAGGAGCTAGAAATACGTTAGGATCAGGCGCAAATTGAATGCTTACCGGAGTCCTTCCCACGTGTAGGCGATGGAGGTAGCTTGGCCTTTGATTGAGATTCATGGGCGCTTCATCTAACGGATGATGCGGGTCTAGGCGGGATATGGCATGGACCACCTTGCCTCGAAAGTCGAAGAAATGTCGTAGAATCTGGAATTGTATCTCATCAGGTATTTTCGTAGGCAGCTTTCCCCTAAGTACGTTGCCCCCAGGCGTCTTGCCCGCAAGCATATCAGAAGGCCGCGGCCTCTGATGCTCTGAGGGGTCGTCCTGCAATAGATCTGCTTGTAGCTCTCTGTTCGTAGGCCTTCTCAGATTTAGATCCGGATGAAGTTTTGTGAGTTTAGGCGAAGCATTTCCCTCCAAGCACGAGAGCTTGTAGATTGTTTCCCAGCTCTCACTGCCAATGCGATCTGGCCAAGTCTGCTTCACTGGTTAGTTAAGGAGCAAAGACGCTTGAGGTTTTCAAACTTCCTGAGGCTACGCACCACTTGAGTTTTCCTCAGTGTGTCCCTCGGTTGGCTAAGTCTTACAATTCTCTCATTAAGCCGCCGATTTCTTGCTTCCAGGTCTATAATCCTCGCGTTTAGTTCTTCTATTGCTCTCTTTCGCTCCCGTGATTTGTGATGGACACGATTGAAGCGCCATCGATATTCTGCGGCAGCATGGCGGAACGCGTGTGCTTCTTCTGCGTCAGAGTCGGTGAGTGAATATTCGTCTTCGTCTTCGGGAGCGCCAGATGGGTCGTCATCGGCAGCATTTGCTGCAGCTGGTGCATATGCCAACATATCAGAATCGTACTAACAGAGTATCATCTTGTGGAGGTTGATCATGCTTACCTAGAGGATCATCATCCTCATCATGTGAGAGGCCATACTCGTCTGAAGCGCCAGTATTGGCTTCAGAAGGAGTAAGGTTGATGGTTGAAAGATGATCATCATCGTCATCTGAATTGTCATCCATAGTGACTGTGCTCAAGACTGGAACAAGAGAACGCTCTACTGATCGCCGGCAGTAGCTTGGAAGGCAAGGAAGAGCAAGTAGAAAGCTGAGTGATGTGCAGGAAACGTAGGAGAGAAGTGGTGAGAGGAAGAGATAAAAAGAGGTGGGAAGAAGAGATAAAGGGTGGTGGGAGGAAGAGATGGAAGAGCAGAGGAAGAGAAGAGTTGGGACTATATAGGTGATTTTGAATCACGTGGTGCTTCAATGATTCTGCCTTGAAGCGGTGAAAAGGCTGCAAAGAGCAGGAGAAGAGGCGATGAACGTGCACTATTATAGATATCCTGAAGGCTGGCAAGCAGGTGTCGTATGGAGTGGTTGGAGAAGCATGCTACATGACCTTGAGCAGCTGTCAGGATGAATAAAATGAACATCTGGCCATCTGCCGTTATCGAAAGCACGTTTGGGACGATGATGGAGATTAAGGAATAAATAGTTTATGTTGAAGCGTCTATACTTCTAAGAATCTTGTGACTGTACTCGTTGCCGCTTTTGACGATTGAAACGCTGGAACCGCCTGTTTATAAGCCCCATAAACCTGCCGCAGCCATCGTCTAGGTTGAAAAACAAAACAAAACAATGGAGAGATAGTACCTATCTAATCCAAGAAGAAATCGTCTAAATGCCGAGCGTCCAGTTCTCTAAGCATAGTGTGACAAGTCGACGTTGCGGGCCATCCGATGACCCTACCAGTTTCTCTAACGCTGTTTTCCCAATACCGTAATCTGTTTCTATGATTGCCACTTGCGGAAAGTGTCCATGACGGTGGTGAAAACGACCAGAAGAATACCACCTCCAGGTCCGAGACGGAGAACCTAGCAGAGGTTAGTAAATGTAGGATATCCATAAACGAACAAGAAAGGCTCACCTTGGGCAAGAAGCCCTTGTATAAAGCGGCGAAACCTTCTTCCCTGAAAACAGTCACCACAGAGGGGAAAGCCCAGTTGTACTTGGGAATCTGACCGGGCACCTTGGGAGTATTCTGAATTCTGCTCTTGACGACGTCCAGGGGAGTGTTGAGAATGGTTCCCACGGTTCCACCGATAGCACCAGAGATCAAGTCGTTGCCCATCTTGCCGCTGCCAGTCTCAGCCTTGGGAAGCATTTGACGGACCTGGAAGATACAACCAAAGTAGCCGGCGTTCCAGAGAATGTGTCGCCACATTGTGCTCTCAAGACCTTGGTAAAGGGTGAGGGGGCCCTCGTTCTTGACAATCTTGAGAACGCAATCCACCATGCCGTTGTATTTTCCAGCAGACGCCTTGTCTTGCAGACGGATCTTGACCAGCTCGAATGGAACGACAACGAAGGATTCGGTGGCACCTGCGGTAGCACCGGTGAGGACTGACAATGACTGGTTCATCTTCTCGACGCCAAACATCTTGCGGTAGACCTTGCCCCACTCATCGTTGGCAGCAAACTTGGTGGCTCGCTTGGGGGCTTCCATCAGAATCGGAGCGGAGATGCCGCGGTAGAGGCGTGAGAACCTGCGCCTCTGTGAGATTGGAACTTCAAAGGAGATGACAGAAGCGGAGCAATAGAAGCGAAGAAAGTGACCTACCCTTCATGCTTGATAATCTTCTTGAAGCAGTCAAGCATGCCATTGTATGCTTCGGCACCTGAACCCGTGCCGGTCTGCAGCTGAACTCTAGTCTTCACGACGTCCAAAGGATACCTGCCCGGCGATTTGTAAGTATGGCTATTCAGGCTGGTGAGCGTAAAGGATGTCGCGCAACGTACATGACCAGAATCTATTCGAAAACAGGAGGAATCGTTAGCTGAGGTTTCCGTCAAGAGTAACGGGGTCATATCGCACCTCCGAGACGCCCGCAATTGCGCCTGAATGTATTGTCAGCCATCAACTGCTATCAAGTAGAATTGGGAGCGAACTGCGCCGTATCTGAGCGTACCTGCGGCAAACTGGTATTGGAAGGGAAGGGGCTTTGGCTCGGCCATCTTGTCAAATTGGCAGTTCAACCTGGATCAATCAATTGCAATGCTGAAGGGATTCCGTGGCAGAGAGGCGGCCGAGCACAGATGCGATTGTCGTTGTGCTTAGCGGAGGAAGATCGGAGCGTCACTCTGGAGGGGAATTTTTTCCAAATCTTTAGCGGCGGGCAGGCCATTTCATGGGCTGAGTGTCGCCGGCTATAAGCGACAGTCCCACCTGGCGCTAGCAGAGACCCTGTCCAGTGGTGCAGTTTTAGCGGCCAAGGGTCACGAAAACTGGACGAGAACACGCGACACTAGCAGTGCGTTAGTCTGATGAGACGAGACGAGACGATGACCTCGAGCCTACAGTAGATAGTACGTGGTAGTTTTTGCCCTACAGGAATGCAAAGTACTTTGACTTGCATACGCTAGAAATATTCACGTCAGGAATTGGAGTAGAGCTTCCAGAGAAGTGTCTGTCCTGGGTTAATCATTACGATTTATTATACCTATTCGACCTTGGTATTTCCCGATGGCGGGATTCCGTATAAGTTGGATATAATTCGGGATTGATGCCATTCAATCTCATGTATATTGATCTCCGCAGCTCGTTGATAGGTAGCGTAGTATATGCTTATTTAGCATGATACTTTAGTACGTAAAGTAATGTAGTTCTTGTCTGGATTTACGTAAAGATGCCTGTGATTCGGCATTCTGAACTAGAGGCATTTTCATACCATCATCGAGTCCATCTTCAGATACCGGGAAAGCTACCCGCCTCTTATATATTGCATACCACCCATCAAGTCACTGCTAATAATCATATGGTAGATTCTGTATACCAACTTTCTTTGAAACCCATTGACGAGAGTCATTTTCTTCTTCTTCACTGATATATATGTGCCTATTCTGTTGCTGTTGCTAGTGGGAGGTAGTAGGGCAGAGACAAGACGGCCCCAATGCACCCCGATGGCGGGGTTTAGAATGCTCCCCCACACACAAGTCATGCACGGCGGCTGATGGCCTTCGGAAGGGCCCGGCTTCCTGGTGCGCGTCCTGCTCCTACTGCCACCCGGTAGACATAAATAGGTAAGATCTTTGCTGCTTGGCTTTCCAGTGTCTTTTGTATGGAAGATCCGGGGAATTGTACCTCGCCTCGGTAGCAGCAGAAAATTGCCGAGCCCCCTTTCAGCTCAGCTGGTCTTCTTACCTAGATGCGCACGTCCCACGACCCAGAGGTTGTGTATCAGCAAATTAGACCCTCGCAATGTCGACATGTGCCGTTGTTGGAAAGCCTTATCCGGAAGCTGAGCGTCAAAGCGATTTAGCACAGGCTGCATTTGCGCGCTGCTATTGGCCATGGCTGCAAAGAGGGCTATCCGTCTTATCGGCGCAAGTGCTCCGTGGCCCGGACCTAAACCCCGCCATCATCAACCACAGGGCAGGAAAGGAGGAAGCGACAGGTACAATGTTGGGAGACGCAATATGATAAGGGTATACACATATACGGCAATGATTTGATGAAGAGAACTTCATTAAAGAGATCAAATTCGAACGATTTGCATAACTATATAGCATTGCATATGAGTTTTGCTCGGTCTCTCAAATTTATTACTTTATTCATGACTTCTTGTATCTCCGTAGCTCGGCATAGGTATATGGTCTGCCGAGTCCCGATCTAACAGCCGCCACGGCCCCTTCGATGTACTTTCCGGGTACCAGGAATGCGCAAGGCCACGCTCACGGAGCTTGCAACTTGGAGAGATATAACCACCATCCGGCTTCTAATCTTCAAATTCTCCATCATCGCCACATCCTCCTCATTCAACTCATCCGAGGATCCAAATTCATCCAAATCCAAGCCACTCGCCGGTCCAAATCGTTTCGCGCCACCCCTCGATATTATCGATAACGGAGTCTTTTGCCATCCATCGACGATTTATCCTGCGTGCGCATTCGGTGATAACAACTTGTCGAGTCCCACACACGCACGTCTTGCTGCAGCTACGCCGAGTCGCACAATCCCCTGGCATCGAATTTCGCACAAGAGAGCTTCGACTGTGCTTGCTGAGGCGTCAGCAACTCTCCGGCGCTTCGAATCGCACCTTTAAAAAAGCCGTGATCCTGCGAGACTCACAGCGAGGTGCCTTTTCAGGCGTCTGGGCCTCCTGTCCGTTGTGCAGCAGCTTATCCTCGGCCGATGAGTCATTTGCTGTGGAAATACTTCTGGGAGAACGATGTCGACAAGTTTCGGCGTCTGCTGGCTTCGGCCGGCCCCAATACCCAGGCGACAGCAAGGAGTCCAGCCGTAGGCGTTGGGACACATCTTGGAGCGAGTCCCGGTAGCATCGGGACTTCACCAAGGACTACCATCAAACCGCGTAAGGCGTCAGGTTATGCCCCTGGACTTGGCAAGGCAAAAGACGGCAGCTCTGGTCTAGGCAAAGCGGAAGTCAACAGTCGTGACCATGCCGGACTGACGCTATTGCTGCGCGCATCTTCTTCTACCGACCCGAACGCCCTGGTCTTCGTTCAGGCTCTACTCGAGCACCCCCATATCGACTTGTACGCTCAAGATCCTGAAAGCGGCTGGAATGCCCTGCATAGGTCACTGTACGCCGGAAATGCATCGATAGCCAGAGCGTTACTGGCAAAGGAGCGTGGGGATCTAGTAAACCACACTCTTGGCGCTGTTAACAAGGTTGGCCAGCTCATCAAGACCAAGGATCACGAAGGAAATAGTCCATTTGACCTCTATAACTCGACGATTGCTGCGAGATCGTTACGTCACACGATGGTTCAAGCTCTGGACGATGATGATTCGGACCTTGGTGACGGGGACTTTGACCAGGGGTGAGTTATCACTGCTACACTTCATTCTTGGCTGTTTCGCATCTGATGTTGACTGACCTTGAATCGTATAGTGCTTCTAAATTTATGCACGCCAACAAACATTATACCGAGGGAGATGAACTTTTCATGTTCGGAAGCAACAAGAACCTTTCCCTTGGAGTTGGAGATGAGGATGACCGACAGTATCCTGAGCGGATAATGCTACAACGGTCAGACCAATCCATCCGCCGCTTCTATGACGATTACCTTACACAGAAGCATGTGGATGCACCGCTCAATGTCACGACAGATCTTGAAACCATCCCTGCTCTGGTTCAAAACCGACCGTTGGTAATCCAGGACGTGGCCATGTCAAAGCTGCACACTGCTATTCTTACCGACGACCCGATATCCAACCTTTATGTTTGTGGCGTTGGCCGCGGCGGAAGGCTGGGACTCGGGGACGAGAACACACAATTTAAATTCACCCCTCTCTCCGGGCCATTTGCAGATAAAAAGGTCTGTCAGGTTGCACTTGGGCAGAACCACTCAATGGCAGTCGTTGGAAACGGCGAGCTGTGGACCTGGGGTCTCAACTCTGATTCGCAACTTGGCTACGTGTTGCCTCCTCCTTTAAGGACAGATGAAGAGCCGATGAGCCTCATCCCACGG